ATAGCTCAGCTGGCAGAGCGTTAGACTGAAGATCTAAAGGTCCCTGGTTCGATCCCGGGTTCCGGCAGCCGCGCCTTTTCCCTCCCGTGAATCCCAGACCCCCTCTCCCCCCCGCGGTCTTCGGGCGGCGGTGGATGCCCCGTACCCTCCCCAAATCACCCTCCTATTTTTGTTGGTTTGGGTTTATTTTTTTAATATCCTAAAGACAAAGGGGAGCGGGTGCCGGTGCGACAGCGCGGGGGGGACGGAGGGAGGGGGCAGCGACCGAACTGGGAGCAAGCGGCTCTGGGCAGGGCTGCTGGGTGCCAGGACAAGGGTAAATTTGCTTTCTTGCACTCGCCCCAGGTTTAACAACGTGGAACTGCGCAACTGCAACAACTACAACCGTTACCCAATGAACAATAGTCTTCGCCAATTAAAAGGACCATTCATCCTACAGGCAGAAATAAGCTTCACCCGATATAGGTCTATAGGAAAGATGGGGAATGTCTTTTTAGTAGGGCCAGCTGTGTTAGGACAAGGGGAAATGGTTTTAAACTAGAACAGGGTAGGTTCAGGCTAGAGGTAAGGAAGAAATTTTTTACAATGAGGGTGGTAAAACACTGGAACAGGTTGCCCAGAGAGGGGGTGGAGGCCCCATCCCTGGGAACATTCAAGGCCAGGTTGGATGGGGCTCTGAGCAGCCTGATCTAGTTAGCAGTGTCCCTGCTCACTGCAGGGGGGTTGGACTAGATGACCACTAGTGGTCCCTTCCAACCCTAAACATTCTATGATTCTATGATATAAAATAAACGTGGAAGCCATGGCTTAAAAATCAGCATTTGAAATAAATGAGCACATCCAAACAGAAGTAAGAACAAGCCTCTGCCGATTCACTTCATCCACCTTTAATTGGCTTAAGATGACGCAATTCTGGGGCCCACGGGTAGGGCGAGCACCGCAAGCAACCTGGAACACCTGGTTCAGAGGGGGAGAGGGGTTCTCAAAGCTGTGACCGTGTCAGAGGGCTGCGACACAAGGCGGGCTCGGAGGACGCGGTTGGGTTTTTCAAATGAGAACTTGGCCGTGGTGAAGAGCGCAGGGCAAGGACGGAGATAAAGGCAAGGTGCTGGGGAGCTCTGCTGCTGCACAGGGGTCTGGAGGATGTCAACGGCACTTTAGGAATTTTAATTGAGAAGCACACAGACGATCGTGTTTTACAGCAGGGGGAACCTGGGGAGGCGCTGATCTCCAAATGCCCAGGAGCACGGGATGGGTTTAGGGGCTGGAAACTTCTGTGGTCTGGAAGGGCACGAGAGCGAAGACATCTCCAGGTGGAAGCACGCTCACAACACCATTAAATTTCATGTCATTAAATTTCTGTGCTATCCCAGGAACCACGTGACCCCTTCTGGGCCATTTTAATGAAAAATAAAGAACAGTCCAGTTAAATTCCTGTTACTTTCCCATGATTCAGGTACTTGTGACCAGCCCTTCCGCAACACGAATAAGGATTCCAAATGCATATTAAAACTCAGTAGAGGACAGAGTAATTAAAATATATTGAGATAATTATTACAGCCAGAATACACATCTGTATCCCAATTTACATTTAAGCTTCTTCCTTAATTCCAGATTATCTTCGTTTCTACTGGACAAGCGAATAGATCACATTGTCATTACAATATAGGAAAATCCTGATCCCTGGGCTTTACCATCAAATTGTTCTCGGTACCACTGCGAGGCTGCCCCGGGCACTTTGCAGTGCCCTTTAGCAAGAGCAGGAGGAGGGAACGACCTATGATTTGATACTTAAATCAGACAGAAAAAGACAATTAAAAGTGCTCCTAAAATCATGGCCTCAAAGACCCGTTAAAACAGCATTCAAAACGGTTTCACTTTTCAATGGAAAAGTGAACGTTCCGCAGTTTTTAAGCAAACACTGGATTCCTTTTCCGCTGAATTGCACGGTTGTCCTATCAACAGAAACAAAGCCAGTGTTGTTCAGATTGCCTCACTGGGTACCAATTTTATTTCCCACGCTTTGAGACACGTAAAGCAAGAACAGTCGCCCCGCTGGGAACGTCTTCAGAGGGAAACCCACGTACATTCAGTAGCAGTAAAATCAGGCAACACGCACCCACATAGTTTACCAAACGTGTCTTTCCACAGACAGCAGCCCGCCCTTTGTCGGGTATTTGGCCAAAATAATTCACACAAGAGTTAGTGTTCTAGCCAGGACCCCCCAAACGCTTGCGGTCTTTGCCAGTTCCACGTTAAGGGCACGGAATGGGCGAGGCGGCCGCACACCCGCAGCATTGCGGCATGGTCCACGTCGGCTTTGACAGGTGGTTCAGCGGGGCAAGGCCGAGGGAAGCAGCGCGTGGCTCCGGCCGGCAGAACTGAGAGCAGCTCCGAGAGCGGTGCAGCGCTATGACCACCGCAGCTTTTGAAAATAATGCACATCGATTTTTACAGAGTAGGAATTACAGGTTTTATACAAACAACCGCTTCATGATACACACTCAGTGCCAGGGTAAATTGGGAAGGGAAGGTTTGTCCTCCTGGTCAGGCGCTGTCTGCAGATGCTACTTTGGTCTTACACTTTTTTCTCTCTAGAATTTCTTCATCAAATTTTTCTCTCTCCCTGAAGAAAAAAAAAATATGTTGAGGCATTGGGGTAAAAATTATATTAGCACATTGAACAGCTCGCAGTGTTACAGCAGCTCAGCAAGAACACTCCCCGTGTTTAACCCTTTTGTGAGGAAGCTTGCCTTACAGACGGGAGGAACTCTCCTGTCCTCATGCTCACATTTTCCCATATAAACAGCAAACTAGTGAGAAAAATTCAGAGAATACCAAAAATAAAAAGATACCTCTTGCTCACAGATGGTCCTTTTATGTATTTCTCTTCTGCCTTCTTGTAATCTATGTCATCCACAGCGGAAATCGCGTAAATGATGGCCTATAAAAGCATTTAGTTCATTTATACTTGTGAAACAAAACCTAAAATGGCAACCAGCGACTTGAAACTGCCTCAGCAGATGAGTGTGCTTTTGGAATAAGGTTCCTCAACCACTTAGGAAACTCGAGAGAAGCTGCTTGCTGCATACTCAGGTGCTCACAAATGCTACAGACCTGACCTTGACCCTTCCCAGGAGGGTATTCCATAACCGGCTTAAGAAATTCTCCATAGTCAATTTGTTTCTACAGAAGTTACTAAAGTTCTTCCAGGAAAGTTCCCAAGAAGAACAAGTAGTATCTAAAAATTGTAGAAACAACCAACCTGCCCCTTGACACACACAGAGCCCAAGAATCCCAGCAGCAGCTCACCTGATTTAGAAACCAAGACAAAACCAAAGCTTTGAAGAGTTTCAGAAGCATCAAAACACAGCAGAAAGCAATCTTCTGTCTTTGAAAACTTCACACTACCTAAAGCTTCTCCATCCCGTGCTAACGACTTAAGAAAATCAGCATTTAGAATTATGTTAAGCCCATGCTTTGCCCATAACCTCACCAGCCGACCAACACCAACATCTGCGGCGCCCGCAGGAAGCGCGCAGCGATCAATACCGGGGCTTCATTTATCATCTCCAACACAAATATATTTGTTCCCCAAGTACCAGCCCACAAACATGGCTTAAGAGCCTCCTGCCCCCATTTTAATATTCTTTGCTCAAGATACACATTGAAACCAGGGAGAGCTCCGTGCCCTTTGAGGGGAAGGGGCTGGCAGGCAGGCTGGACAGGAGCTCAAATACCACCCAGCTCCCGGGTGTGCTCCCCAAGTTGTTACGCTTGACTCACGTAATGCCACCACCATTTACTTCCTTTAATGTTTACTTTTCTCAGCATTTCATGTTTACTTACTTCAGGCAAAAGGACATCCGAAATAAATTTTATTCCATCTCCAGTTATCTGATGCAGATTTTTAGCACCTATTTCACTATACACTTCCTTCAGGTAGTTCACTACAAGGTCCAGTTGTTCTTCATCCTCTAAATAAGTCTCAACGCAGGTCATGTACTGACTGGAATTCAGGAACTCCTTCAGCCAGCGGGATTGCTTTCTGCTTTTCAAAATAGCCAAAAGATGCTCTTCGGCCCCCTTAGTCTTCACTATAAACTCCACGATCTTTTTATTCGCTTTATCTCTAGCGGCTCTGGTTCTGTCAGGAAGAAGTTTCTTGGAGGGCTTCTGAGGTGAAGTTTCCGAAGACGACTCTTCAGCGTCTTCCGCTGCATCTGGAAAGGTCATTTGGACTGAGCCTTGGTAACCTTCCTTTCTAACTGGGTAGCCTGAAAGAAAAGCCACACTTATTCACACTTAAGTACACAAAACAAGGGGCTCTCGCATATGTACTTGGATATACAAATATAAAATGAGGGACCTTCTTGCTAAGGGAGAAGCTTTTCTGCCTCCCCTACCAAAGAGGGTAAAAAAACCCCCCACCACCACCATCTTAATTTTGCCTTAAAAAAAAAAAGATTAGGGAGTTGAAACTCCGACAGGAGCTCCAAGATGAGTGCTCCACAGCCTGAGGTCACCAGTTACCATATTGTCTTTAACAATCAGCATTTATTTAACTTTTGTTGTGGGACTGAAAAACTTCAGAGCAGAGATGTTAATGGTAGCCCCCCCCCCCCCCCGCCGGGTCTGATGCCTAACTCGCCCACTGGCAACCACCAGAGCTAAACTTCCCTCCTAAGAGAAGGACACAAAAGATAATGAAGTCACTTACTGATATCAGCAGCAAAATATTCCAAGAAGGATCCCGTAAAAGAGTGACAACCTAAAAAGCCCAGACCAGGGTTATTCATCAGTTCAGTCAAGCCTATGAAACAAAGCTGACTGTTTTGGTGTTATCTGATGTATATCAGAATGGATAACATCACTCAACTCATCTGCTTACCTACTCTAATTCGATAGTCAGAAATCAATCGAATGCACCACTCGATTTCTCGGCGATACTCTTCTTTGGCTCGTTCCTAGGAAACAAGAACCATTTACAGGCCTGAGAAGAGCAGCCTACCCAAGCTTCCGGGTCTAGGGCTTGAACCAGCTAACAGAAACGGCTAGCGACAGTGAATCAAAGTTCACTCGCAGTTTTCTGCATTCTCCTGAATTTCAACCTCTGCCATCGCTATGCCAGGCAGCGCGAGCGTGGCTTTGCTGTACGTAGAAAACCCACCAGTGAAAACACAGCAGGAGTCCTAAGCAACTGCCCGCCTCCCACAGGGACGTGCATCCTTAGCAGCAGCCGCACCGAGACGGAAAGAGGTGTTGGGGGGGGGGCATTCCCATCTTATTCTCCATTTTGTGGAGCACAAACTATGTTTAATTACTTTTTTGAACAGAGCAAGAGAGAATGGAGGAGAGTGACCAAGCCCAGCCCAGCCGGCTGCACCAGACACCTCCCGCAGGGTCGGTTATACATTGTGCATGCAGCTGTATTTTTTCCAACACATGTACACACTTGTTTCTGATTGTACTTACTATGAGGTCCTGCTTTTCTTCACAATCAAAGTGCTTCAGGTTCTTAAGAGATACTGAGAAACTTGATGAAACAAAGAAACACGGTTAGGGAAGAGAAGCAGTCGAGTTGCACCTCTATTTACTGCAATTCTGCACCTCCCCAAAAATTAGGTTCCATAAGGAATTCAGAAGCGCAGGTGTTACTGGTTTGGTTTTCATGATAACCTAAACCTGTGGAATCTTTTAACAAGGGAGAAGTACCTGGTTTTAAAACAAAAGTAAAGGCAGGCTTGTGTTTCCAGGAAGTCTGGGCAAGACACATGAGGGGGGAAAAAAAAAAAAAAAAAAAAAACAGCTGGGTCCCCAGCCCTTTCTTTTTTTTCTCAAAGAAAGGAATGCCAGCCTCTCCCACCAGCAGCACCCCTCCCTCCGAGATCCACCTTCGTGCCAACTGACAGCATAATTGCCCTGTACCAGGAAAAGACCACGGGACGCTGCCTAAAAGAAACCGAAAGCTCAGATCGCGATCAGAATCCACAGTTACCCTTTTTTCTTGTCATTTGTGTTCCCTTCTATAAACAGCACATACGCCTTTCTGTGCTTCCGCTTCACGTTTTTCACCTGTTGAAAGGATAAAGTCTCATTAGCACTCTAAAAGCCCTTACAAAGCAGGAACATTTCCCACGGGTGTTATACAGCACACCCCATAGCCAAGGGAAGTTACACGAATAGGAAAAATTAAGCTTAAAGTGGCAAGAGTAGCAAGTTACCCCAGTGGAGCATTTTTTTTAGTGCATGAGGATGCATCCTTTCTTTCGTTAGTTGGGTACGACAGCCCTATGTCACCATACAAGATACACAGGCTCAGCAGTAATCCTCTGCTCGAATGAAAACATGTGTGAACCAGCCACCTTTATTTTTAAGTGCTTTTGTCATAGGTAGAATTACTTCTATTCTCATTGGAATGCTCCTACTGGAAGACATTTAACGTGCCCAGCTCTACATGAGTCAAGAAGGGCAAGAGACCCTCGAGAACCTGGGAAGCTGCTCCTCACCAGACCCCTTGCAATACCACTAAGAAGGCAGCAAGCTGTTCTTACCACTGCTGGCCAGTAAGGATACCTTCGCAATTTGCACCAGACCAAAATCCCTTCTTCAATTGATTGTGGTTCTATGATGAAAAACAAAGTAATTTTTCTTTAACAAAAAAAAAAAAAAAAAGAGAAAAAGGAGAGAGACAAGACAGTTAGCTCGCCCTCCCATCAGCCTCCCTTCAGGAGCTTCACTCCGATTGTCAGGTTTCAACTAAGGTGACAGGGCAACCCCTGATGGCCCCAAAATGCAGCTCATTCTGAACATGAAAACTGGGGCGTTTCAACCCTAGGCCCTTGCCCGCTTTCACAGTGATCTGTGTTCCATTCTGTTTCAAAAAGTCTCTCTGGGGCATCCAAGAAATAAATTTTATTCCAAGCTTGAACAAAGCTGGGTTCACTTTCTAGAAAGTTTGGGTCTCGTTACGAGGGCTTGTCAGCAAACTAGAAGCACACATACCCTAGAAGAGCACATCGATCTTGGGTGAGGAAGCCTCATACAGGTTCACCGATTTCTCACCTTGGTGTGATAAAATACTGGGAAGTTCTTCATCCTCCTCCTCTTCATCTACCAGAGCTGAGAGGCAGGAGAGACTCTCTGGGGAAACTAACTTTGAAGACACGTCAGATGATTCCAGTCCTGCAAGCACCAGTGTTCGTAAGCATAGAACAGTGATTAAAAAAGCATTGGCTTCAGAGCTGGTGAAACACACAACCATGCAAGCGACCCCGTGGCACCACAAGTCACCAAGACACACAGCACTGTCACACCTGACACGCTCACAATTCTCTGCCTGGGCAAAGGCCTGATAATCGCAATAGAAGACGAAGAGAAGGGGCAAGGAACAAGAACAGGCTGGTTTCAGGACTCTGCACCAGCCTGTTCCTTCGCATAACGCCATTTCACCTCAATGCTAGCTAGGTAAAGAAAAACACCAAAGCGTGAAAAGAGTGAGTCCTCCAGCAAAGGGCAAGGATCACTGCAGCGTATTTTGTCAGTGCAAACCCCTAAACAACTCCAGAAAACCCGAACACACCCCCAGCACTTGGCCAGTACTGAAGCAATTGCATTTTCTGCTTCTCCAACACTTAAACCAAAAGGAATTAACCCCAGCAATTCAAGAACCATATTCACAAAAGCACCGCAGCCTTCCAGGATGCTTGACAACCAAACGGGATGAAGCTTTCCCTTCCCCCAGAGATATGCCCACCTTCATCTTCCTCAAAGTCAGGCAGCTGAAACTGCTTTACTTTATTCGCAACCAGGTCTGAAGCGCTCTTATTTTCCTCCTCCTTAGGCTGAGGGGGGAAGCTATCAGAAAGCATCCCATGGTCAGAGGGCCCAGATGAAGATTCAGGGCAATTCCTGCGTTTCCTTTTTCTGCCCGAGGATGCAGCTGCACCCATCTCTTGCTCTCCTTTAACCCATTTCAAACACACTGGCTTTTTTCTTCCATCTAATTGCTTTGCTAGACTTTCACTCTCACTACTGATGCTTTTTTCCAAGCCATCCGAGGCACTTTTACAAGAGGAATCCAGCAATGTCCTTCTAGGTTGACTTCTGGCGTGTGCCCTTCTGGCGGGTACCACCACGTCAGACTTGCAGGGGACAGACAGAGGAGACGCTTCCTCAACAAGGGGCTGGGCTTGATCCTTGACGAAATCATTCCTACGCGACCCAGGAGATCCTGCACCTCTTGCTCTTTTTCTTCCTTGCTTACTTTTTCCCTCCTCTGGCTTAAGGGAGACTTTATTTCCTGGTTTGGACTCTGTCAGCAATCTGGGCTTGATTTCTTTCTGTCCTGGTAGTGATTTTGATGCTGGTGTTTTACAGTTTTGACTGTCTGAGCTTGGTGTACCATACAAGCCTGGAGTACCCCATCTGGAAGGGTTTGTTCCCCTTCCATGTGCTGCAGAGCTCCCCTCCAAAAGGGAAGAACCTTTCTGGGGTTGTTTTTTTGTATCAGCCTTCAGACCGGGGGTCTTTTTTTGGTCTCTTTTCTTGGAAGTCTCAGGCTTCAACTTTTCTTTCGAGTGAAAGAGCAATCGACATCTACGTAAGGGGGTAGACGAGAGAGCTCCTGCACTGTTCTCCTGGGATAGCTGAGCCTTTGGTCCTTCTGAAGGCAGTGCTTGTCCAGGAGACACATTTTGATTCAAAATATCCAGGGCAATTTTAAGAGAACGGCGGTATTTCAGTTCTTCCACAGCCTCACGCAAGTTATTCTTTTGATCTGAGGAAGAAGAATATGTAATAAATGCAGTAAGTGTTCTTTGTATGCAAGAAATTTTATTTCTAGTTTTATCTTTTGTTCAAGATTCAGCTTGACTCTTAGATCATCCGTGATTCTTAAGGCAAAGCACACAGGGACACACCAAGTGCAAACTTCCAACGCCTTATTTCGATGCAAGTACAGACAAGTTTCTTCACCATTCCTTCCAATACCTCCCAAACACGAGGGAAGAGCAAGAGTAGCCGCGATGATGTTTAGTCTATTTTCAAACTTTACGGATGGAATGGGAAGAGGGAAAAAGAAATGCAACAACTCCACGATAATAAGCACTTAACTTCTATCCACCAGGCTGAGTTTTTGTGTATACTTTACATCCAGAATATCTATGAGGCAGCAAATGCTTTGATGTCTCCTCACCTAAGTTCGAGGCGATGTCTTCTATACGTTCTTCCTTCAGTGGTACAGCATCTGCACGCTTCACACAGATCCTGGGAATGCAACAAAGCTGACTGAAAACATCATAGCATCGAGTGTCACAAACAGCACGACACGGCTTTCATCTGGCAATGAACTTGCCACACTTTTTCTGCAAAACCCGTACTTGTTAGGAGAAGTTAAGGAAAAAATAACCCACACAAAGAAAGCCTGAGCTAACAGTGTGCTGTTTACGGATGTACGTGACCAGCTCTGAAAAGGCAACAGGTTTTGGGTTAGCCACCTAATCCTTCTGTAAATCAATGATCTCAGTTCACAGGTATCGTCACATAAAGGGATTACTTTTTTTTTTTTTAAACGTCTAAGAGTGCAACCACACGACAGTAACGGGGACACTTAACTGTTTTTGCAATCCAAGTATTTCAACTTCAAAAGAAGCCTCCTTTGCCTTCGTAACACATGCTCTCCCGGTCACTCTGGTTTTGCACAAAACCTACATTCAAGAGAAAAACACGCATTTAAAATCCTTGACGGAGTCTGTTAAGACTGTAGGACAGATGTGACATCAAGACATTTTTGATATGAACAGCACAGAATGGACCAACGTTCCATGGCACCTGGTTGCAATGTTATGATCCCTGCAGATCAGCTCCTTTTTAATGTCTATACATGTTTACTTGGAGCTTCTCCTTACTACTCAGTCTCATCCATTTCTAAGTTATAGCCACAAACCTTTCCTGATTTGTATGGCTGCTTTACCTTTGCAGGCCATAAACGCTTCTTCCACATGCAAAGAACATACTCTTGATCTGTCATGGCTGTGTCTCACGTAGAAGAGGAAAACTCCACTGTGCTCTGAAGAAAAAGGGAATAAAAGAGGGACTCAATATCTGGTCCATTTTTGTCTTTTTAAGGAAATATAGGGCTTAAATACAATGCCTATTATTACAGTTACGTATCGCTTTACCTTTGAGATCACTGGACTGATACTACTTTGCATGCATTCTCCAAAATTAAGTCCTAATAGTGCATCTTTCTACAGCTGTGCAACAGAAGGTCTTACTGAACACTTGAGCGTAGAAAATACGGGCACAAATACATAAAAAACCGCTGCTGCAAGCCCGCACGTTCTGCAGCTCCCTGCTCCTGATAACGGAGGCCACTTGCCACATGCTACAAATTACACCACGCTGCGCCAATTTTTAGATGTCGCTCGCAATTATAACCCGCGCAAACCAGCCCCAGAGTTCTCACACGCTTCCTGAAGACGCGGAAGGCTTCAAGCCAGCCCCGGTAAGAACAAGAAAGCGTCCCCGTACTCACAGAGCCGAAGGCTTAAGTTTCCTCGGCACGCTGGAACGCGGTCCTGCCACTGAAAGACAGCAAGAAGCAGAT